GGAAGGGGTTATAATATCCCGAGGTATTATAACAACTTGACGTAAGAGGCGACTAATAACCCTGCACTATCCGACTCTATTTGGAGTGTAAATAGTAGTGAGTGTATTTTCACTTGCGTCACCTGACTGGAAATATATATCTGGTACCATGGGGTCAGTGCCCGCAGCTTCGACTGTTCTGACCAATTCAGTGACTGTAGTTAAACCCTTAACTAACGCAGAAAGAATGATTGAAACTACTCACATTCATTCGGCGTTGAGTTGTATTTTCATACCGGTTGCTGTGATCCGATGATCAGCAGAGCTTGAGTATGTCTTGCTCCTTATTAAGGGGGAAATTATGCCAAACACATAATTTCAATTGTTGCCGGCGGAATTTCCTTGGAATTCCAGTAGGGCGTCAATCGAACATCGTGGTAATCACCCTGTCTTTGTAAAATATATTACATCTTGATTTACAGTAGGTTTTGGGTAGAGAAACACTAATCTAGACAATAATTTTTATTAGAAATTCCTATCTGGGAAATATTTTGTTTATTGAAGTAAATTTTGTTAAAATTATTGATATTGTTTTGTCTCTTTAATTTGCTCCTGGCAGTATCTTATGATCACTTATTGATAAATATTGAGCCTCTTACTATAACAGCATAAAAATATCGTGGTAAAATCACGATAAATCTCATCTCTTCATACATAATTGTCTATATATTCTCAAGTTGTGCCAGCAAATAATCCATTGTAACTATCTAGCGCTTTCAAAACAAAGTGCTACGATACATTGTAAATGCTCCATTCTACATCAGAAACAGTGATCTCCACCGTGACCTTGGCATGTCAACAATCGACGTCGTGGCTAAAAGGTGTGCCGTTGATTACAAACAACGTTTGAAAACAAACAGCGACCTAGACGGTTAAAAAGAAAAACAGTGGCAGACTTGATGGACAGAGAGTAGCAAAAGAGCTTCGCTTTCACCCCTTTTAAAATTTTCCAATCGAAATTGCTTATTAGTATCTCTTGTTGTTTGTTATTTGCAATATTAAAACGCTTACATCTAATTTTAAAAATCATTATTAAAAAGAAAAAGAAAGTTATTATGGAATTTTATAAGGTCCTCTATTATATATTGGTTAAATTGAAGTGGCGGCCTTGTATACTTAACACCACTTGAGCTCAAATAATGGCCCGTTGTTATAACACATTTTAGTACTGATCACATATATAGACTAGAAGCACCCCCAAAAGGACCGCAGATTGGTATGAAAAGACTTTTAATCTTCAATTGGCCAAAGAGGGGCATTGAAAAAGAAGGAGAAACACCGATGCCTCCTTCTTTTTAAACCCACAACCTCGACAAAAATCATTATAGTGTCGACCCAGTCTCATAGCATATCTTTCTAGAACATAGTGAACCGTTAGTAGCTATACCGTATTACTAAGCAGGTTCGGCTTTAGTTGAAGCAGCCAACTATTATATTTCTTATTTAATTTGGACCAAGTAGATCTTAATCTATATATTATATATTAAAGTTATTTTTAATTAATGTGATGATATTTTTGTGATGAATGTGATATTATTTTTGTTTAAAATATATAGAAAAAGTCATATATAAAAAATCTTGCTACGTTCCAAATATCAAATTTTGAAACTTAAGATAGAATGAATTGCTGCCATATCTTAAATTAGAGAGTGGCAAATGAATTGAAAATGTAATTTAGACCAGTTAATTATGTATGCATTAATGTAAAAAAAAGTGCCAGCTATTTGTATATATATAATTAAGATTTAAAGTTGATTGGTTTAGTGGCGATAAAATTACCCTAGACAGAGCTTCTCCAGGCAGAATTTCCCTAGTTAGAACTTCCCCATGCAGGACTTCTATAGATAGAGATGAGGTACTAGACCAATTTTTGCGGTTGATAATATATTTGTGACACTTATATTGAGGCTTTCATCCAGGGTTTTTGGTTCGTTGTCTTTGGTTATAATTAATATTTCATGTAGGTTTGTAGCCAAAAATATACTTCGGAAATGATTTTCAAATAATTTCGGATAAATGCTACATTATTAATATTAATAGTTCCATATTGAGTGTCCATATCAAGTGATAAAAGGTTAAGGGTTTCTAAAAATTGTTTTTAATTTTTAGACAATTGCCTTAGTTCGTTAAACGATTTTCCAGTCTCTGTACAGTCCTTTTTTAAGTCGTTTGCGATCTAGTTTATTGTGAATTTCATCATATTCGTCATGTAGTTTATATCCTTTGCATCATTATTTATGCTTCTTTACTTTAGTGTTGGTATTAACTTAATTCGATAACTGCCACAGTTTTAAGTTAGAGATGGTCCTAAGTCACCAGATACTCAAGATGTTATGAAAGCATCTGTTTGTAAATGTTACAATTTTAGATTTATTTCATATTGATAAACCAGGTCTCACATCCAATGGTTTAGGTATGCACTTTAAGCTTTCAAAATGTAGTTATAAATATTAACAAATATATAAAGATATTACAAATGAAATTGTGGTTAAATGTTTTGACATTCAGTGAATAATTTTTTATTATCACTATTACACACTAAATATCAGATATGTTGTGTTATAACTTACTTACTTTCTTACTTACTTACTGCTCTTCTTCTCTCCTAGTGGAGCATAGGGCGTCTTTGATGTTTTGGTTCAATCATCTGGATTCTCAAACGTTCTGTGATTACCGATAAGGAAGGACTTTATATTTCTACTACACTTTACACATGCAAGTCTGCGTAAATTGGAACTTAATTTCAAAATCATTTCAGTTTCATTGTCAATAATGACGATATTGTATTAATTACGTCATAAACTAAATTCTTATTCTTGCCCAAAGTTGGAGTGTTCTTAACGACTGATATTTCAGATTTCATTCGAATGCTGAATTCTCTTGTATATATATGAAAGGATCAATCATGGTAACAGTGTTCCGCTGTTGGGAAACCAATAATCCATATACTACTAAATCTTAATCCATTGATACTAAATCTTCCACTCATCTTTGTGCTTGATTTTAGTATTAGCCGTAATTTGTTGTTTCAGAGTTACAGAAATAAACTCGCAACTTACGAAATAAAATATGTGAAGCAACAACAATGCTCTTAAAATCTTCAGAGTTAGATTTTACTCGCAAAAAATTTTAAGTCTTAAGTTTTAATGCAGCCAAATTCCAAAATTAGTCTATTGTGAATGTTCACTGGAAATATGTTGCAAAATTCAAGTCATTCATTAAATTCATATGAGCATTTCATTTACTAATAAATTCAAATACATAAACAAAGAATTTAATTTAAATATATTAGATTAAAATTCTAACCATTGCACTTCTAATATTAATTTTGTTTTCTTTTATTTAAATTAATTAATTTTTAGTGTACAAATATTTCATATTGTACATAACACAGCAAAAAGCTAGTGTCAAAAAAAAAGCATTTAACATATTTTAAAAGCGCTGCCAATTTGTTTCAATCACGGTCTCCTCCTCAGACCTAGCCTCATAGCATGCTTTCCTATTTCGCACTATCTCGTCAGCGCAGATACCATGATGCTGAGCAGGTTCCTCCTTAGTTGAAGTAGCGGATTAGTTCGTTTCTTGTCTAAATTAGACCAAGTCAACCTTGAAATCTGAGGTTCATCAACCCATTATTGCTCGGCTATGCTCAGGTATTTTTGTTTAATTGCCAGTTTAACTGTAGCAAGTGGAACGCTTATATCGGAGAAGTAAATGTTAGGGAGACGAGCGGCTGCCTTGGTGAGATTGTCTGGCCTACAATTATCCGAGATATCGCTGTGACCAGGAACCCAAATGAGTTTAATCCTAACAAGCCCTAACAAGAAACACTGCAATATTGAGTTATAATTGATATGACTGAGGTGCCTATCAGTGATCTGTGTTTCAACCAAACTTAATGCCGTTTTTTAGAACTCTGAAAGAAAAAATTACGACTACTGTTAAATCATAGTTTTACTTTCTCACATTCATAGCCAATTTATTCCAGTTCTCAGTCGTTTTAAGTCTATTGAAAGGTAACTAATTAATGAACGTATTTATCCCATGCTATTATTGATCTTGGCCTGATCTTATTGATCTCAAAGTTTAACATACCGACTCTTTAACACTGCCCAACTGTTAAAGATTATTACTTCATTTATATCCACTGTTTTTTTTTTGTGATTGTGATTCATTCGGTCATAGCTAATTAATTCTTTTGTTAGTAATATTGGACCCCTGTTTTATTTCATAGAATTTGTTCTAATAACAGATTTTTATTGTTGTACAATAAAAAAAATAATCTATTTTGTATTTGTTATTGATATAAAATAATAAAAAAATGGTAGAATTCAGCGAAAAACGTATTTAAAGCTATCGGATAGGAGTGGCTTTAAATAGATAATAGAAGATATAATAGTTATACAATTTAAATTGATTATATATGTGTGCTTAAACAAAAGTCTGTTGTAGTTCATTTGTTGTAACATACTTTGGTAATAATGAGAAGTCTTGGGGCATAGTACAGTGAACACACCGATGAAAATTGTAGCTGTAGGAAAACAGACCTTATGTTTTTACAAAAATGATGACGTTTTATTTTTGTATTTTTATTAAAATCATCTGCCATAGTGAAATACTTCTTTGACTTTCTCTAACGTTTAATTTATTTATAATATATATAGGTATATATAAATATGTATATATGTATGTAAGCAGAATTATTTATAAATAAATTGGAGAATAGAAATATGTGCGCACCGTCCAAGGCACACACATGAACAGATAGATTCTCATAAGCATTTCGATTGAATTTTGGCAAACGAACGAGGCAAATGCAAGTCCAATGACGATACTAGTAAATACCAGTAAAAGAGTGTAGGGAGTGTGAGGTGTACTCGGAATAGTGCGAGTACACAAAGTGGTGGCATGAGAGAGCAATGAAAACAGTTGACAATTTTTTCATTTCGGTTTGATTTGATTCAGTTTAGCTTGCTGATTCGCCTAAAAACAGTCGTCAATTTGCGTTTCACGCGGTGCTCATGTTTTCGCGGTCAATTTTATTAATAATTAAAAATATTTTGTTTTGCAATGCATATTTCATAATTCATCCATCGTTCACACATAGTCTAGTGTTTGACTTTTACGGACACAATACGACGACGGCGTTATGTAAGAATATTTTCGCACGAAACTCGTACAAATAAAAAAATTAATAAATTCCATCGAATAAAAGTGTAATTTTCTAACGTGAGTTCATCGCTGGCGTTGAAAGCGCGTAATGGGGAAGTGTCGCATGTGAAAGTAAGCAAAACTCATAAAAATCAAAACACAATTTGGAAAATCAAGGGCGGTGCGGTACACGATTCCACGAAGTCGAATGTGAAAAGGCGTCATAATCGTTGACAGGCAATAACAACGCAATATCAAAAAATAAATAAATAGAAACAAAAAAAAACAAAAAAAAAATCAAAAAAAAAATAAAACAAAAGCTAAAGCTAAACAATGCAACAAGAAAGAAGTTTATAAAGCGATAAAAAAAAAATTGAAAAAAAAAAATAAATTCAAAATGAATATCATCAAATGGTTTCAAAACTTCAGTTTGCCATTTACCTTAAGTGGAAGCTGTGATAATTTGGGTCTAGAGTATTATCTTCCTTATTATTCCACACATCACCTGACCTGTTATAAGCATGAAGCACCTACATGGAAGTATCTCCAACAACTTCAGATACAATATATGCTGTTTATGGATAAGTTCTGGCCTATATTTATGTTTACACTGCAACAATGTCTCAGTGCCTACGAACTGTCTAGTGTTTTTTTCATCAAATATAGTAACCTTATTGCGGAATATATTAATATATTATCTCAGGATCAAATATTTGTTTGTGTATTCAAATTTTCATTACTCTTACTCTTCCTATTTATTTTGCACTGGGCAGAAGTAGGAGAACTCGTTGATGTTCTTAATATTGATAACGCACAAATTATTAATGAACTAATCTGTGATTTTGAACTAACAATTAAAAGGGCTAGTATTGTAACACCAGATGCAGCCAATGAAGCACTACTTGAAGTGGAGGAAAAGAAACGTCGAAAGCGGATTACCAAAAAGAGAAAGTGCGTATCAGCAGATCCTGTTCTTATAACTTTACCACGTCTTAAGAAAAAACCTAAATCTAAAGTACAGGATGTACATTTCGCCGACTATGATGGACTTCCATTAAATGGTCCTGTACTAGTACCGAATGAGTTATTTTTACCATTGCGTGTAGAACCGTTAACGTTTGATAGAAATATTTCTCCAATTGAAGCTGATTTAGAAGATACGGAAAGATTGGATATATCGTACATGTGTGTGTGTGTATATATACTTAGTTATATTGTTTAAAATTATTGTAGTTGGGTAAAAAAATAATGATTGGTAAAAAAATAAATGGACTAAATTTTGAAAATTGAAATTATAACTAAATTGAAAATTTCTTAATAATTTTTATCCAATTTGTTATAACTATTATAAATTGTTATATATACATCTTTTATAAAAATATTTTTTTAGCATCGTAAAAATTACTCTTGTTACTATTTTAACCAGATTTGAACACCCACTTCTACTTAGAAAGCCTAACAATTATTATTAGATTTCAGTTTCCATCAAATTTTTAAAGCTTTGATAATGATTGTTGTTTTGATTGTGATTAGAATAAAAAAAATTGAAGAGCATAATTTGCAGTGAAAGATTTCCTACTATAACAAAACCTGCTAGTAGTTAGTAGTTTCTTTTCAATCTTTCTATATAGATTTCAAATTAAGTAATAAGTTCAGTTGTGATATATTCCAATTCAGACTAATGAATATTTATATTTATGTAAATACTTTCATATATTAATAATTAATAATATATTAATAATGAAACTTACAACATGAAATCCAGACATCATTATAAATTTTTTAATTTGGTTAGGATAACCTATTACTAGTAGAAGGTAGTAACATAAAACTTTTGATTGCAGTATAAAGTACACCTTCCATTTATATTACTTTCATTATAACCGGACTGAAAAAGCATAGACCTTTTGTTTACAGTATAAACTACACCTTCTATTAATATCACTTACATTAAAACTGGACTAAAAACAATAGAACGTCAAAATATGTTTTTAAATCACACATTATGATAAACTGTCAATCGTGATAAATCGTATAAAATATCGCAAGGACTACATATATATAACTACAATTGTATATTTACCAAGTTTGCAGCAGAGTAGCTTTGAAAAATTTTCCGAAAATGTGGGTCGACCACCAGTTATTCACATCACTTTTATGTTATTTAAACTCTATTAAATATAAACTTTGTCGAAAACATTTCGAACTCATTTTGAATAAAGCGATACTCTGCTGAGTATGCAAATATAAATAAAATTATTTTTCGTCCATTGTGCTCAACAAATGTTAATCAGTCATCTGATTAAAGACAGAGTAGTAGACTCAAATTTTTTCTTTATTTATTATGATATATAAAAGTAAAGAAAACATCAATAGGATCCACTTGTCCTATTAGACAACTGTGTTACCATATAAAAGTCGAAGGACTTGAGGCAACATGACCGCTTTAATATAGTTCAGGGTTTTCTTTAAAAGAGAATCTTATTCTCTTCAAAAATACGTCATGTAGCTGACCTTGATCCTCTGGGAAATAATTATCTAGTAAACTTAATCTATTTTGGGTATGCGCTGGATGGTGTCAGCGGATGTGAATCATTTTGTATGTATTCTTTAGAGCTGTGACAAATATAAAAAATTATACTTTTTAGAATGATTACCTAACTGACAGTAACTTGTGAACACTATAAAATTGATATATCTAGTAGTAATTTCAATGAGACTAATACACTAAAAGGGACTAACTTGCTTACAGATGTCTACACATCGTCGACTCTTCCCATGTTCTTTTAAATTGCTCAAAGTTTTAACAACTGTTTTATGATATAAACAAGTGCTATGTTCAAAAAGTTCTGATATTTCGAATATATACTTAAGCACATTGTCAGACTGGTTCTTCCATATAAACAAAAAACTTAATCATATATTTAATAAATTTAGAAATAAATATTTTCTTTTAAATAAATTAATTATTATTATAAAAAATAAAATAAAATAATTTATGTTTGAAAACTAATGTATTATTTTTTTTCAGTTCTGAACCACGTGGTACTCTTAGCACAACAGATGAAATTTTTCCCAATTCTCCGGATAGCAGCCTTTACGGCTCAGACGAGGAACAGGAAGATCCTTCCCAATATTGTCGTGGCGGCTATCATCCGGTTGTTATTGGGGACATATTTGACAATCGCTTTCGTGTTGTGCGGAAATTGGGTTGGGGTCATTTTTCAACTGTGTGGCTTTGTAGGGACTTGAAGTAAGTTCTATATAATATTTCTATAATAAAACATTAATTCTTTGTAATTTTAATTTGCATAGAGATGAGAAATACGTGGCCTTAAAAGTTGTTAAAAGTGCACCACATTACATCGAAACCGCAGCTGATGAAATACGACTATTAGAAGCTATACGTGATGCAGATCCATTGGATGGAAAACGCGAACGTATCGTTTCTTTACTAAATCATTTCACTGTGCGTGGTGTAAATGGTATTCATACGTGTTTAGTGTTTGAAGCCTTGGGTTGCAGTCTTTATAAACTAATAGTTAAAAATAATTATTTTGGTTTGTCTATACCACAAGTACGTAATATTATCAAACAAGTCTTGGAAGGTTTGGATTACTTGCATACCAAATGTAGCATTATACATACTGACATAAAACCAGAGAATATATTACTAGTTATAGATAATGCAGCTGCAATGAATCAACAAATTGATGATGAAATTAATAGTTTACGTGTGAAAGGTGCCGATTTTCCTGACTCATATAGTAAGTATTAATTTAGGAAACTTCATCTTTATGTAATTTGAATTATTTCCTCTAGATTTTTTCGACCTATTATAATTAATTTTATTAATTAATTAATAAAATTGAATTATACATTAATACCAAATAAATAGCAGAAGTAAAATAATATAAGAAGTAAAATATAAAATAGAATATAAGACAAATATAAAAAGAAGAAATAATATAAGTCTTCAAAATTATAGTTGACTTCATTTTAATATGTTTAAGCACGTAGCATTTTAAATATTATTTAAAAGATAATTAATTCTATCTTTAATATATTTAGTCAGCTCCATCGAAAAACAAACGAAATCTCGTGCTAAATGGCCACTTATCGATACGAACACTTCAAGTACCAGCACAAATACGGCAAATAATTCTACGTCCTCAACACCATTACCACCACTCGTGGTTCCGAATACTGCTATGACCTCTTCTGATGAGACTACATCAATTTTAAACACAAATACACCATCTTCGTTGGCGTCCAAATATTCTAGCCTTGTTGGCGATAGCGATGGTGGTGGTGGAAGCGGTGCGGATATAATTGTTGGTAACTCATCTTCAGGAAATATAAATAATCGTTATCGTGCCGCCGAAAAGAAAATCACTGCCAAGGTATGAATGCAAAAAATTAATTATTATTAATAAAAAAATAATACACAATATAAACATTTTAAATTAATGTAAAACACAATTTCACGTATTCGAGAGTTGGTACTTACGTTTTATGATAACTATCATCTGAGTTTTGAATGCATTGAAAATAAATTTTGAAGTTAAATAATAGGTGTTAGTTCTGACATAGAAATTTAATCCTTTAAAAAAAATTGATTTTGCAGTATTAAAATATCATTTTCTTACCTCTAAGTAATATAATGGTTTAATCTGTTTTATGGGAACTGTCCCAACTGATTTTTAATGATATCAAACAGACACGATGTCATTGATCATTCTGATCAGTAGAATAACGCTATTACTTCATAGAGCATTAAAAAACTTTAAAAAAAAAATACTTTTAAATAACTAAAAATCATGATGAGACAAAAATAGTTGAAATTAGAAGAATGTGTTCTAATGCAGTTTGAAGTGCTCCTGATTTGTCCCTTAACGAGTACTTTCTTGATTTGAGAAGTGAGACTTTGAGAAAAGTCTTAACAAATCGTTTATTTCTTAATAAAAGAATTTATGTTTATTTAAATTATGTTAATTTTTCAATATACATTTTTCTCGAATATTTTTACAAAAATACAAAAAGCTACAAAAAGTAAAAGAAACCTTACATCGGAATAGAATTCAAAACCTTAGTTATATAATGCAATGTTATGCAAAAAACTATTTGATAAAAAATATATGCACTATGTTTGGTCACCAAAAAATAGTCCGATTATTTAAATAATGAAATTGTTATGGAAAGACTTGTACTTTTCTATATCTTCCGTACATTGGACCTTTTTTATAGAAATTGTACCTTTCTGAATCAATTTTTGTACAGACAAAAATTTTCAAGTGGCAACCGTGATGTAGAATGTCACGGGCACGTCAAAATCAAAATTGTTGTTGCTTTTACTGCAAATTAAAAAACAAAGAGTAAGAAAAAAAATAAAATTCGGTCATGAGACCCGGGGTATCTGGCCTAGTGTCATATATACTTATTATTCCGTAATATTATGGAAACATGCATTGATTATCTTTTAATATTTTCTTTATTGATACGATTTCTTAATGGTGTTGCTCAAGCTACATCCCAAATGCTTCTGTTCTCTAAGAGCAGAGCAGCATACACACGTAGCTCAAAGTGCTTGGACTCATAACTGCAAGATCAGCAATTAATGCTGCTGCGTGTTGGTTTAGAGTAAGTGAATAATACTTTTCTCCAGTAGACCACACAGAAAATGAGTAACGGATGTTTTTGTTTATATTATGTATGCTACACTAGTCACTCAGTTAAAGCCGTGTTATATGTATGTATGTATTTCCTTTAAAATTTACGCACAATCAAAAAAAGTACAAAAGTAATAGTAAAAATATGAAATTGACAAACTGATGTGATATTCTGTATAATATGCTTTTTCGTCATAGCCCGAAAGAAACAATTTTGACGTGCCCTTTAGTTGCCATAAGGAACAATTGAATCATGAAACGATAAGTTCGAACTCTCCTATACGCACTCACATTCAATGCAAAGTTAAGGGAAAAATGCACATATACCACACGAACACGCACAAACACAATCGTAATGAAAAGCCAACGAGTGAATGCTCCCCTCACACATAATTGTTGTGTTTTGTTGTGTGTTATATTTCATAATTTTATTTTCAAATAATTATTTTGTTCACAAAAACCCAGCTAAGAAAAGGTGCACTTTTTACTTAATTTTATTCATTAATGCACTTAAAAACAAAAAAAAATCAAACAAACGCCTGCAATAGTTTTTTGTCCTTTTTTGTTTTTGTTAAATTTAAATTTTCAGTCGGTTGACGACGATGTCAATGAAGCTAACGAAACTAATGCCACTACCACCGATGAAACAAACGGCACCGAAACAAATTTAGTAACAAACAAAAACAACAACAATGACAATAACAACGAAAACATAAACGATAAACAAAACAACGAAGCTGTTAACAAAACAAAAAATGCAGAAAATTTACAAAATCTCAAAAAGGTAAAATTCCGTCAAAAAATAATTTTAAATGCCAAAAAATAAATAAATATTTCATAGCTGCAATTCGTGCAGTTGCTTTAGAAAGTAAATTTCTGTGCTTTAAGGAAATGCAAGTTTGTTGTTCCTAAATAATAATACATATATAAAATTTATTAACAAGATAGTATATATAGTTATATATACATATATATATATATAGTTAATTGCATATAAATATATATTCTTGTACAAGTACTGCGTTCTTACTAACGATTTCGATTTGTTAGAATTTCGTCATTTTGTGAAGTACTCTTTTTCTAGTTGCTGATTTACAACATTTTAATAAAAGCTGTTATAATATGTAAATTAAATTAGATACAATTAGTCTGAGTGTAATAATACATAACATATATTGTATAATATAATTATTTAAATTTTTATTTAGTTAATTTCATCCTATATATGCACTATAAACAATTCCCTTAGATATTAGTATCAGTTCGTTTTTTCATTTTTTTATTTTATGCATTTTTTTTTTATAAATGTATGTCCATAAGATCGCTTCGATTGCAGATATATGTTGCTTATTATTGTATATATCACGCTTTTTCAACGAACATCTTGTTTTTGCACTTTTTCTTTGTGTTTTTTACGTTTTGCAGTTGCCCACTGATTGTATTGGTACAGATAAAGAATCAACTAAAGCTAATGCCATTCCGCAGACCCACTCCTATACGAATGCCATACAGACGCTGATCAACAATACGAATGTCCGCGTTAAAATTGCCGATTTGGGAAATGCTTGCTATGATGTAAGTTATGAATTTTTTTGACCAATCACTCATTGCATGCACACCATCCATCTAGCACAGACTCTATCAGTTTAACAGTTTCTATTTGTTAGATCCGTTTCACACTTACCGCAAAAATAAAATGTTAAAATAATTATAATTGGCTAATAAAGCCTATAGGCCACTTCACATTCACCAGTGACGTTACGATGACGGGAAGAAGAACTGCAGCATAAATTTCAACTATGGTCGCAGTGCTCCGTTCCGTTAGGAGCTAGTACCCCGTTTAGTTATATTCTATTCTACGATGACGGGGGAAAAACCGATCCGGCGCCGTACTATTGCCGTTGGTTGTCACTTTTCAATTTAACTACCGGACGAAAGTGTGTCATTTTATTATTTAATGTTAATTTTTTCTTGCCGGGAGTGACACGTCTTTATGATGAAAAGAAACTATTTAAAACGTAGTGCAGACTATCATTTTTGAATGCCATTCAAGTTGCGCTCTTTCTCTTGCTCAAATTTATGCTAGCGACCGAACTTGAACATGCTCATATTCAAGAGTTGTCATTCAAGCAAAATTTTTAAAGAATAAGGGTGTTTACGCACATGTAAGTGTGTTTTAGTACAACCACACAAAAATATGCTCTTGAATGACGAATGTAATCTTTTAGGTGACAGACTATCATTCACAACATGTTGGAAGCTGAATGATGTCCTCACCAAAATTTTGGTGTCATTTTTAGATTTTCTCTCTTGAATGACGCTCAAAAATGATACTCTGCATCGCGCTTAAAAGTTAGAAGTGTTCGAATAGAAATGAAAAGACAACAACAAGAATTTAGTTAATTTATTGAAATTTGGCTGAACATACAATGCCGTTTTGAGTATTGCCAACTACTCATTATCGGTTAAAAAATGTTAGAATTTTTTTAATTAGTTTATAGTCTGTATATAATTTATGTAGACTGTATTTATAGTTTTTTATCTTACTTTATATATGAATTTTTAGTAAGCACGATTAGACATCTTTTTGTTTTTTAATGTAAAAGTTTGTAAGTTTAAAGTTCTATATTACGAAATTCAAGCTATGGAAAAACTGCTCAATATAGCCTGTTATACTATAATCTATTCTCTAAATGTGGTGAAATGGAAAACTATGAATATAACAGAGGATCGTGTGCAACACATAGGTGACGGCTTAATCCAGGATAGTGTGAAACGGATCTATCTATTGATTTTGGAATAATGTAAAATAAAAATTTTAAACTTTTTATGTATGCTGCGTATGAGTAATTTTTTTATAGCGAACACTTATAATCATTAAAACAAAAGAATTAATAAAGTGTGTGATGAATGTGATAATTCTTATGTCGTATATTAATCGAAAACATATTTTTTTTAAATAAATATTATAGTTATTATTGGATATAAGTCATAAAGAAAATTTTTTTTTTACGTGAAGTGCATTTAATGTCTGATTTGCAAGAATAGTTTGATACTTCATAGCCTTTTATTGAGATATCAGTGAACTCCATAAAAAATTTACTGTAACAATTATATATGTTGTATATTTTATATTTGTTATTTTTAGAATGATTCTTGTTATTTTAATAATACCTATTAATTATAATTTAGTTCAACAAACACAAAAGTAAATTTTTATTGAACATACTGCATCTTTTTGTTGTACGTCCTGTTCTGATTCACCTTAAATTTAATACCAAATATATTGCTGTCTTTTTTATAGTTAAGGGTTTTAATTTAAATCGAACTCTTTTAAGACTATATTTTGACTTTATAAAAATCTTAGTATGTGTTTTCATTGAGTATATCCAGAATTTAAAGTCTATGCCATCATCATCTCAGGCCATCTGACGTCTCATTGACACATGTTTATTTTTTTTATTAAATCCTTTTTTAATCGAATCTTCATTTCGTTTAATAAATTCTATTCTCTTGATATTATTTTTGTTTTTCTTTGATCCGTCTAATTTCTTTTTTTTTAAACAAAATCTTTTTTTCTGTGTATATTTTAGTGTGCAATGACTAAGCAAAAAAAGAAAAGATGACTACTCCCTTGCTAAAAATGTCTGTTCTATTACTATAACAACGTATATACAAAAGAGTTTAGATAGAATAGTTGAAAATAGCATTCAAAAGAAATCTCTTCCAAAATTTGTATGTTTAACAATGTGGTATATTGAAACTGCTGTCCAAAATCTGGTAGCAGAATCGACCGCATATTTGACAGAAAAGACTTTATTATTGGTATGATCATCGATATTGAGGGGGTTTTTAAGAAGGTAACGTTTGATGGTATGAGCAATGTGGTTGCTCAGGATTTTATTCAAATAAATAAAAGGGATGTTATTACAACCATTGTAATTAAAACATAAAATAAACAGTATCCTATAAGTGATATAAGTAGTTGCTATCTGCAGGCGGTATTCTATCTCCCTATAGACTTTTTATGAAATTTTGTGAAATTAACGAACTATTGTCTAAAGAAATAAATTATTTGAAATATTAATCTTAAAAATTGATAAAGTGGATACAGGTTATTTTATAATTCATGACAATGGACCATTTTTGTGAGCAAATGTCTATTGAATATTTTACCACTTCTAATTGCTGTATCATCCTTATACTATCTACATCTTAGACCTAAACTGAACGTATAGATGTCAATAATGTTTGAACATTTTTTATTACCTATTAGACATACTTCTTAAGTTTAAACAAATTAATCCTATGAATATTTAAGTTAAGCAACCGGATTCATTAGTTAAGGTAATAAGTTGTTTTTAATACAAAGGAAAGACCTGAAGGATGGTATAACACATCACCTATGTCGGACTTGTTGATTTAATTTTTAGTGTACTATGTTATCTATGTCGGAGTTGTCGCTTTAATTTTTAGTTGGCGAACACAGGCACTGATAATTATTTGATGATATGGTAATGCATATTTATTTTTCTTCACAGTTTTATTTGTCAAGATACTTTCTTTCAATAGTAATACAACCATCAACGGTTCTCTAACTCTTCGATGCCTTTTTTCGGAACGATTTTTCTTTACTCAAAATCGATTTCTTTTTCGGCAATCACTTTTTTATTTCAGACAAATTTTTTTGTCCGGAGTATTTTTTATTATCTGATGTTCTCTCTAGTGCCAAATCTAGAGTAAACAGGTAAAGAAACAATTCGAAGCGTAATTCATCCACTTGAAACTTCGCTTTCAAAAACTTGTGACTTGTTGCTTTTGATTCGGTTTAAGCAAGTATGGTATCCATTTCAGAAGTAACTTATACATATTGAAATTTTCATGAAAAATTTTAAACGCACTGCCTTCTGATATCTTTAAGGTGTAGCTACCTTACGCAACCTCACCTTACTTTTTTTAACAATATATTTTCGGCGTTCCTTATGTTTTTCGAAACAATTATCGAATTTGAATAGCCAAAGCTTTTAGTATCATAGATGTTTGTATGATCTGGACAGACGAAGATTTTTATGTGATATGATATTACAAAGTATCAAATTGTTATTATAGAATAAAATGAGAAATACATCACACTACTAATCTGCACTTAATTTTGGTTGAAGTTTTAAGCTTTTATTTAAATAACTAATCTATTCTTTTATTATCTTAATAGTTCCTTCACGTCTATGGTTTATTATTTTTAACTAATTTCTGTACTCATAAGTGTTAACCCAAAACTAAAGTATTTTTTTGTCATAGTACCACCATTTTACTGAAGATATTCAAACGCGTCAGTATCGTTCCATCGAAGTATTGCTTGGTGCACCTTATAATTTTACCGCCGATATTTGGAGTACAGCGTGTCTAGCATTTGAACTGGCAACAGGAGACTATCTTTTTGATCCTCATGCTGGTGAAACATATTCACGAGATGAGGATCATTTGGCACACATTATAGAGCTTCTAGGACAAATTCCGCCTTCAGTTATATTTCGAGGCAAACATGGGCTTAAATATTTTAGTAGTTATGGTATGTATATTAGCAGTCATTAGATAAGCCAATTATTAATTACTAATTAAATTTTTTATTTACAGGCAATTTACGAAACATAACCAAGTTGAAACCCTGGAATCTATTAAATGTACTCATTGAAAAATATGAGTGGGATCCGATTGAAGCGAAAAAGTTTTCGGACTTTTTGCTACCAATGTTAGAGTACAATCCAGTCATACGTGCATCTGCCGCTGAATGTCTGAGTCATCCATGGTTAGAACAGGAGGAGTTCGTTTAAGATTTGTTTTAGGTTCTTTATTGTATGCAGTTGTGAAGACAAAGCGTTTAAGACAATTTTTGTTGTTGACAGGGTGCGATAGACTTAAATGAAATAATTAATTGTGTAAGTTAAATGTAGAATTTTAATTATTAATTACTTAAAATTTGTACTTGTAGGCTTAGATTAAATTAAAAAAAAATATATATAAATTAATTTTAACAAAATTAGCAAAAAGATATCACTAATATTTATATTAATTGGTAGACAAATAAATTGGCGTTTAAATATCAGTAGCGTAATTTATAATTTTTTAATTGGTTTGTAAGCTTTAACATTTTATTTTGTGAAAATAATACAACCAAAATCAACATATGCCTATCTGACTGATTTATTTATTTTGAATATATTAAATATTAGAATAATTACAAATACAAAAACAAAAAAAAACAAACAAATTTGTTAAGGAAAAAATCATTTTACGAAATTATCGTACTTTTGCAAAATCAATTGGAATAAACGACTAACATAAAAAAAACAAATATTATATATAATATTCTGCGGTATTTTATAACTATTAATTATGGTAAATATTTTAAAAATATTAATATTAAATAATTAACAATGTAGCTAAATAAAATATTGTCTAAATTATTTAATTTAAACTAGTTATAAAATATTATTGTGAACTAAGAAATTAACACATTTAATATACACATATATAAAACAATATGAATAATAAAATTAAAAATGAGCTACTCAAAATTAAATAATAATATTAAAATTATTGTAACAATTTGTTGCATCATAATTAAACACGAATAAATTTTTTAATAAATTTATTAGAATTTGCATATACAAGAAATAAAAATAAATAACATTTTATTGTATGTTTTGATACTTAAAATTCACCTTAAAAATATTTTAATAATAATAATAATAATTAAGCAAACAAATTTAAAAATATTGTATGATTATTATTATATAAATATTTTAAAAATGTTATAACTACCAACAGAATTATTATTAACCGATTTGTAGAATTTGAATAATTTAAATTTATCAAAATTATATAAAAATATAAAAAAAATGTTTATATAGAAGCAAGAAATATTGCGCACGAATTTTAAAAACGATTAAAAATTTTAAAATTTATTTTTTAAATACAAAAGAACAAGGCTAAGATATAAACATGACAACTCTTGTAGGGGAATTGAATATTCTAAACATTTTAAATACAATAAAAATATTTTATTACAGAATTATTACATAAATAAATATAATGACGATAATATTTAAGGCGACCAATGAAATAAAAAGATTTTGTTTTTGCGAAGTTACAGAAATTTGAAAGAATTATTAAAAAAAATATTTCAATATTTTTATTTTATGAGTAAACAATATGTGAATAAACATTAACTAATTACATTTAAAATAACACATATTGATAAAACAAATATATGACTATAAATTCCAACGTGATTAAATGATTAAATTAAAATGTCGTTTGTTTATAACAACATAAAACATAAAAATAAATATTAAAATTTTATATAAAAAAAATATTGTTTTTAATATTTAATAATCAATACCATAATGTACATAAATAACAATTATTTATTAAAACATTTATTTATATAGTTTTGACTTATTTTAAATAAGCATGTATGGGGAACTAGGCGGGCAGATGCAGAAATTCAACAACGCCTACCTACAGTTTGTTAGACATTTATAAGTTTAGCTACTTTATTGTAACATCCAAACCACTGTTCCAAAAGACAAGGCTATGAACTCGATGCTTACATATGAGTTCGAGACTTGAATGATAAACTAAAAACACTCTGATCGCTTGACAGAAGAAATAATCATTGGCTTAAATATGGGGATGACTGATTTGGGAGGCGTGATACCACAACACGAACTGTAGGCGATTTTACTGAGAGCAGATATAATCACAAATATGAAGTTTGATGGACATCTTGCTGTTATGGGTTAAAATGAGTTTGCTCAAAAGGCTCTTTAGGATAGATCTTATGGGCAGCGGCATCGAAGCATATCAAATGTAAGCTAGAAGTGTAGCGTAGATTAAAACGTAAAGTACAACGTAAAGTAGAGCGCTTTTAACCTAAGAGCGGCTAAATGGATGACATTGGCGAAAAAGAAGCCCAAACACTGGTTGTAATGGCAATAAATTTGTTAAAAAATTTATTTATTGGAACTAACATTATTAGAAAGGTTCTAAAATTTAGAAACCACACGAACACTGATATGTTTATTTGAATTTTTTATTTATTTAATTTAATTTTAAATTAATTTAATTTATTTAAAGAAATAAGTTAACTTTTACATTAACGAATTCCTTATGAACTTTTGGATGATGAAGTAAGTGAGGCAAATGTGCGGCTGCTGTTATGCATATATGTATATATACGCTAAACTTTCCATGTTTTATTTATTTAAGGACTTATATATATGTGAGTTGAAAATATCATATACGATTCATTAAATAATTTTTTGATATTTAAAAATATTTCTATAACCAATTATAGCACAATAATGGATGTTACAGTTTAACCATGATGTCACCCTTAGTTAAAAGTCAGATTTTTGAACCGGAACAGAACCGAAAAAACAGTATAATTCTTGTATAAAAAACTTTATTTTGTTTATACAAATCATTTGATCCTGAGTTAAAATGGAACCATTACTGACTACATTAATCAATTACTTCATTCATGTAAGTACATTTAAAATATCCCATGGTTGTAATTTAGTTCAACTATTCTCTACATAATTTACTAAAGTAATATTGTGTATAATACGGTAGCACAATGAGCCTATGTCCCTAAGTGGATCCCCTGGGATCGCCGGTATAACATAATATTGAATATATTTTCATTCTTATATATTTTCATCCCATAAGTAATATTTTTACCATTTCCAATTATATGTAGTATATAGTTACTGTTTAGAAATAACCATATTATTATTATAGAATAATTTAAAGATCTTAAAACATTAGATGATAGAACCACAAAAGAAATTGAACATCAATTTGAGCACTACCGATTTATGGCTTCACCACATTGAAGCTGGCAGGTTTCTCTAACTGGTCCAAGGTAGGGTAAAATTTTTCTAACCTCTCTTCCCATTTCTTATTCTACTCCTTATGGATTTGTATTTAGGAGAAGATTTTCTCATCCTTTTGTGTTTGCTTACTAGGATCCGATGGGTGAATACAACAATGTCAACACATTTACACTTATCAAATTTGCTCTATTCGCAAGAAGGGCTAATTAAGCACATTATCACACTTTTTGTCATATTCTGTGCTATATAAATCTTTACAGTATATTACAACAACAAGTATGTTACCCAAGAATTACTACTAGTTGTTGTTGTAATTGTTGTAGCAGATTGTTATGAAACTTGTTTTTGAACTACTAGCATTTAATCTCAGTTATAGTAAAATTAACTGCAATATTTTGTTGCCTTCATATTAGACTGATCTCAGTTCTGTAGATTATATGTAAAACCCGGTTTTAGTACAAACCAAATTTAGTTAATATTTTAAATATAAATATTGAATAAATAAATAAAGTATTTAATTCTTTTTGGAGTTAAATAATATATTTTTTATTATTTTTATTGTATTTTATTTACAATATCTGACTTGACTTTAATTTCATAAGTATTTTTTCTGGCTTTCTATATAGTATTATTATTTATAATCAATAAATTGTTTTCATAAATGAAATTAAAATTTTTTACAATTTTTATTGGAATTTTATTTAATTTAATTTAAATATGTATATATTACCTTTATATATTATTACAATTCTTTTTGCATTTTATTTAATGCAACAATTTCTTTTATTATAGAATTAACATTTCAAAAACTAATTTTAAAAAAAAACATAATTTAACTAAATTTTTTTAAAACATCCAATTTCAAGAATATTTAATTTCAAAATGTTTACATAAATCATTAAATATCCAAAAATACTAAAATTTTTGCATTTTTTAAAACAATGACCGCACGAATTATTGCAGAATAGGTAAGTCAATGTAAATTTTTTAGTAACTAATAAATTATTATTATACTATTATTTTTGGAAATTTTTATATATATTATAATTATTAATAAGTGTTTTAATTTTAAATAAGCGATTATAAAAAAATTAATATTTTATAAAAGAAAATCTTATTTTTGCGTAGTTTAAAGTTACGCAGGCAACAGTTTTCATTTTCTATATGTATATTTTTATTATATCTGTATTAATAGCAACATTATCATATACAATATAATAGAGAAAGGTATAAATATATATATATTTTTTATAATACCATAATTAATTGGATCGAATAAAATAATGTATTTGTTTAAAACTAAAATTTAAACAGTTTTCTATATATAATTTATATAATTATTAACTCTTAAAGTAATTAAATTTTTTTCTTTTATTTTTAAATTGAAACAAAATAAATTTTCATCAATATTAAATTTATAAATTTTACAAAAAAAATATTAAAAATTATTTTAAATAAGATGATATAGAAATGTAATTAAACAATCCCTAAATATATATATAGCTGTATATATATATATATATATATATTGCGTTTAATAAATTTTTTTCAAGTATTTAAACACCAACTAGGCGTTAAGTGTGGTATTGCGAGCGCATATAGTTCTGTTATATCAAATTGGATTTTTACTGTCATAATAGCATCGCCGGGTTTTTCCATATATTTCTGCATTTTAGTTTTATTAACGTTCCGAATTTTCTTTTGTATTTCTTCTAATACCTTTTACGAATTTTCAGCGCATTTCATATTGGAATTATCTGTTATATTTGCTTTTCTATTATATGTGGATTGAATATAGACGTGTTTTTATTTTTAATAAAATAAAAAAATAACACAACTGAAGTGTATGTATGCAAATTTAAATGTGATGTTGTTTCATGTTTCGGGATATTTTCGTTAAATGAAAAATTATTTTTTTTGATTAACCATATCTAAAAAATAGATGAAAAAGTTTAATAATAATTAAATAACAAAATGATTATAAACATACAAATATTAATATTCACAATAAATTAATTTAATAATGCAAGCTATAGGTTTTTATTGATGCAGTAATGTTAAAATATTAAATTTAAAAAATATATAATAACAATTATTAAAAAAATATAATACAATACAATAACATACAAAGTAATATATTGATTTTTAAATATGAATGGGAAACACATGATAAAATAACATAAATCAATATAAAATAATATTATATATATAATATATATATATATATATATTTTATAATATAAAAAAAAATAAACATATAAAAAAATAAAGAATTTATAAATAAAATATCAATAATTAAACAATAATCACAAATGAATATAATTATTTAAAATCGTTATTAATTATTAATTAATTTTTATTGTAAAATTTTTTAAAATTTTTGTTTTCCAAATTTTTTATTTAAGATTCGTTTAAAGTTAACAGAATTTTTTAAAAATGGATAACTATAGTGAGGCAATCGAAGGTTGTTAACAACCAGTGTAGTTAAAGACTACTCCCCGTTAAAGTAGTATCTCGAAGAAAAGAAAGCATTTTTCAATAAAAGATCAATTTTGATCAAAAAACGTTGTTTTCAAACCAACAGTTGTTGGGAAAAAACGGGACAAGTGAACATAGCAATAGAAATTATGTTATAAATTGAAAGTGGCAATGGCCACACCTTACATGAATAAAATGACAATAACCTGAAAGGCGTTAAATTAGAGTCCACAGTAAACTTTGCGGTCAATCAGAAAGATTTTTGAGATTTTCGGCTATACTCAAAATTGAAGATGGCAGTAAGTACGATGTAAATAAAACGGATCACAGAGTGCAACGAAATATCTCTGAATAAACATAATTATATACATGATTAAAGTGGGTATATTTATTGCACATTCAAAAACAAGAAATAGATTACCTATACAAAAATATAATAATAAAATATTTAATATAAACTTGAATACAGATATATAAAAATATTAAAATTATTAATGACATTTTTTGTTATGACTGCAATTAACTTAAATCGTCTTCCTTTAACGTATAATTTAAGTTCAGAAAATAGAAAATTCAACCGCAATATCAACCGCGTCTTGTTTTCTACAGAAAAATCTTATATTGTGCCATCACAGAACACTCAAAAGTATAATTGAAAAAACGTGTCACACAATATAGTTCTACTAACTTATTGGAAAATTTTTTGGCAGTATCTTTCGAGCCGATCTTTATCTTTCAAATTATTAATTCCTGATCATTTTTACACAAAGTGTATTATATTAAAAACAACGCGCTATATGCATATAACAATGTTTAAAAATAAAAACTAAATAATAAGCAAAAAAATAAAATTAAATACATATATAAAAAATAATTATTAATTACATATATTTAATAATAATTATAAAATTACATAAGTAACAAAATTTATGAACAATAAAAATAAATAAAAATTTTATTACAACATATATAGAAACAAAAACGTGTATTTAAAAAAAAAAAAACAATTCTCTAAACATTATAAATAAATAAAAACACTTTTTAATTAATATGTATATGTAATTAAACTGAAAAATGAAAAATAAAGTACAAATAGTTAAATATTATATTTAACAAATGTTTAATGGTACATAAACAATCTCAATAACAAAATGATAATGCATATAAGCAATTGATACATGAGTTATAATTTTAATCGTAACTATAAATAATATTTTTTTATTATATATATTATTGTTTTTGAAAATAAAGAAATTATATGTAATTTAAAACTAAATTGTTTAAAATGATATTTTTTTAGTAACATAGACATTTAAAAAAAAAACAAAAAATATAATAAAAATAAATATCCGTAACTTATTATTAATAATTATTTTTAGTTAAAAAAATTAAAATAAAAATTGATCATATTGATATGCATACCAAACGAATGGACATAGATGTACTGATTGAAGCAAATTCACAATACAATTTTTAAATTATTAAAAAGGATTATAATTAAAAATAAAAATTTAAAAACAAATTATATTACTGAAATTAAAACGAAAATATGTTTACTTTGTAATCGTTCAATCCATTAAGACTGCTTTAAATAGAGTTTTTGTCTACCGGAGGTTTAAGTTTTGAAGTGGACTCCATATTTTCCTTTACTGAATTATAGCAAAATTTAGCTTAAATAAGTTTGGTACAAAGCATATTATTTAATTTGATTTTAATTGCACATTTAGTTTTATTAGAAACATTTCAAACATTTATAAAAAAATATATTTTTCTTGTTGGATAATTTTCATTTTAATAAAATTATAAATAAAAGAAAAATTATTTTAATTTTAATAAAATTATAAATAAAAACAAAAAATTTATTTTAATTTTTATAAATTATAAATAAAAAAAAAATATTTTAATTTTAATAAAATTATAATTAAAAAACATTTTATTTTAATTAATAAAATAATAAAATATATTTATTTAAAAGTTTTTATGACAAAATAACAAAAGTAGTATTCATCGTCACATGTAATTTTAAATAAAAATTTATTTATTAATCAAAGTAATTGTTATATACACTAAAAGTAATTAAATATTTAATATATATTTTTAATAAAATAACCCAAAATTTAAAAAATATAATAAAATAATACATATTTTTTAGAATACAAATACAATATAGTGTATTCTATTATATATATAGAAAATATTATTGTTACTTTTTATGTATGTAAAAAATGTAATGTAAAAATTTTTATATATTTTAAATAAAAATAAATTTTATTGGATGTATTGGATTATATTGAAATTATAATGGAAAATTTTTTTGATATTATAAATTAAGTGTTAAATTATTTTATTATAAAAAAAAAGTTTATAAAGGCAACAAATACATTATTGACATATGTTTGATTAAAATGAAATTCTAGTAATGAAACGAAATTGGGGAGATTTAAGCTATTTTAATACAACAAATATACAACATATATTATTATATTAATAAATTATTTTAAAAAGTAATTTTATTCTATATTTAAATATTTTGCAAAATTTATTTTACATTAATAACAAAGTTTTAAATTTATACTAAAGCTGAATTATGCTATGATTAATTAAAATTAATTGTGATTACATATTAATATTTTTTTTTTTTTTTTGATTTAAATGATTTTTATAATTAATCAATAGAAATTATTAATTATGCTAGCAATACAGGAATAATGATATTTATAAATAATTGAATGTGTGTGTTAGTTTCACTTTGATATCAATTTGCATATAAGAATAAATTTTTAACTTAATTAATTAATACATACATATATATTATATATTTATATAATTATGTATATTCTATAATTTTTAATTATTTTATAAATTTTGAATTAAGTTTTTTAATAATTGTTATAATATTAAAATATAATTATTTTGGACAGGCAAAGATAATAAATATTTTCATTTATTAATTATTTAATTGTGATTATGTTAGTGTGTTTTTTGCATGTTAGTGTGTATGTAGTATTATGTAGTTAATAAACTGAACTGGTGTGTTATTAACTAGAAACACATTCGATGGTCGTAAACGCATTTTTATATAATTAATGTTTCTAATAATTTATATATAATTTATTTGCATCAAAAATTAAGTTTTTATTTTCTTGTTACTTTCTTTTCTTTCTTTTTTTTTTGTTTTGAATGTTATTGTTTTAGTAAGGATTTTGCGTTTAGATTTTCAAACTACAGTTTTATATACCTGGCGTGTACGTGGTTTGTTCTGTTGTGTTGAGTGAAGTACTTTCCGTAGCTGCAACTGGTGCTCCAGTAAATGGATTGACACCAGTGGATTGTGGTGGCGGCATCGCGAATACAGGTTGTCCTGATGCATTGCCCTGACCTGATGTTGCCTGTGTAGTACCAGCTAGATTAACATCGTCGAGATCAGCATCCTCCTGAAAGAATTGAAATTATTTAATATTTTAAATTATAAACAATTTTTTCATTTGACAATATAAGTTTATTTCTTAAAACATGAAATATACATTGTTCTGTGTATTTCACTTCAGTATAATAATATAGAGGTCTGCGCAAATGTAACAATTTGTGCTTTATTTACACCAAATTATTTTTTAATTTTTAAAAAGAAAAGGTTTTTATAAATATAAATGATTTTTTATATTTAACAAAAATATTTTAATAGGTTATTATTTTTTGAATGTATTTTTAAAAATAAGGAATAATAAAGGAAAGAATAAAGAAGAGGGAGTAGGAGTTGAAGAGGGAAATTTGAATATATAACAAAGAGACGGTTTATAGAATTAAATAAAAAAGAGTAAAGTTTGTTGATTTAAATATAAACTTTAAAATAAATTAATATAGAATTTATTATATAGAAATTACGATGGATTGCCCAATCATTTTGTTAAGAAATGCGAATTTCGCTTAAATGTCAAGACCCCCCTTAAGGATCACATATTCAAGCAGAACATCATATAGAATAAAATATAGTCTGTTTTTGTACATAAGAACAAATTTGATAAAAACCATTTGACAGATTAACACGGAGAAAATTTCTATACATTGCCCTATACTTTTACTGAGAGCGGATGATATTATTAAGCGCATTAAACTACCAGAATATAGGCACTTTAGATGCAGATGTATAGATACATCTTTAGATAAAGATGTAGAAAAGCTGTAAAATGTATAATACTTCCTCCAGAGAAATAAAGTTGTATTAATTCGATTTTAAATCACTTGTACAGACCTCTTATTTGTTATTAACTGAAGTGTATTATTTTGGTAATATTTATAGTATGGTTTATTTTATTTAGTTTAGAAGCTTTTAGGGATTACGGAAGTATACTGTACAAAAGAAGTTGACTGTAAATATATGTTAATGAGTTTATTTATAAAAAAATGTAACAATTTTTAAATGTCAAAAAATACTATAAGGAGAAGGTACTGAATTTTGGTATTTATTTTATTTATATTTTAATATTTAAATTAAATAATTATAAAAAAAAATTTAAAAAAAATTTGTTGTCTATAAAAAATGCATAATTAAAATATTTACTTAAAGCATTCAATATACAAAGCTATAGTATTTACTACATATTCGTCTAATAGAAATTTTAAGCAATAACTAACCTTTATTGGAAATAATTTCTTTATAATAATATAAAGACGTACAGATTAGTTAAGAAATTGTTTGCCTAGTATTAATATTCAATTAACATTTTGTTTAACAATTTATTGCCGACAAAGTAATTTAAAATAAGTATTATAATTTATATCTAAATATTAATCATTACATAAATATTTTATCCATAGTTTATCAATTAATTTGTTTAAAAAAACTTTTAAGTTCAGTCATTACAGTGAAATCTCTACTAAAGAGCAGGTACTTTCTGTGGCTGGACAATTTAACTAAACCCAAAATTTTATCGTTTTAGAAAATAATGTACCGTTCTTTGGCACCACACTTAAGCGGATAAGAACTGGCTGAAGATGAATACCCGTTAAGAAAGTTTTCACAGAATTTGCTATTAAATAGGACCGATATTTTTTGTCAGTATATTAGCAAAAACTATGAATAAAGTAATAAGTACAACAACTATTAGTGGAACGCCTTTCTTGAACCCAATTAGTTAGCAATGCATGCCTGTTTAAGAGAGTTATCACTGTATTAGATATTAAAGAGAATCAATATCTTTTTGTAGTTATATTATTAAATTTGTTTTCACTGTGTTTGTTATTAAAACTGTATCGAAATATGTATATCCCTATAATATCAAAGATATAAATAAGAAGAAAAGTACTACAATTTATAGTACTAATTTATCAATATAAATATTTTATACTTTAAATACTATAATAATAATAAAGTAGTTTTGGTTAATAAATTAACAAAAGTCTATAAGATTTAAGAAAAATAAATAAAATATTACTTTATTTTAAAATATAAAAAATATTATTAATATCAATAGATATAAGCACAATACTCAGGTTCCAGATTACTCCAAAAAATATAAAAAATAAAACCGTCTAATAGGAATAAATTAAAAATAGTGTACGCGTCAATAAGAACTTATTGACTATGAGTATATCCTTACAGTGCTTGCAAACATAACTTATTATATTTATTTATCTATTTTATTATAATGAAATATACATATATATTATATATGTTATTATTGTTTAAAAGACTATAATTGCATATACCTTGCTGCACAAACAAGCTTGAAGCATAAATTATTATATTCATTTAACTATTTTATTCTAATTAAATATACATATATATTATATATTTTATTATTATTTAAAGGACTGTAACTATATATACTTTTTAGAAAGATATTTTTTTTTATACCAACCAAAAGTCGATATAATGAAAATATCGTATTTTACGATATATGCAATAGTTTTTTATGTAGTAACTCAATTAGCAAATTGGTTATTTTTTTGGCTAAATAAATCAAAGGGCTATAGCATACGATATTTATCATAAATGTAACTTTTGTAATTACGTTTAAATGATAAAATATCGCTACTATTATACCCTACCTGTCTATAGGTATTTAATTTCTTGAGAATCTTAACCGCCTATATATGACTATTATTACATAATATATAAATATCAGGGAGAAGGACCTAGTAGTTTAGTACCTTATGCTTAGTTAATTTTAAAATTAATTTTAGTGTTAACTCACAAATTATTTAATAAATAAATATATAGGGTCTGATACATTTACGATATTCTACGAAATTCCACGATATTCCAGTAACTAAAACAAGAGTTTCTATGCTTAGTTAATTTTAAAATTAATTTTAGTGTTAACTCACAAATTATTTAATAAATAAATGTATAGGGTCTGATACATTTACGATATTCTACGAAATTCCACGATATTCCAGTAACTAAAACAAGAGTTTCTATTTAAACAACCTTTGGTATAGAATTGCAATTATAAATATTTTAAATATTAGTAACACAATTTCTATTAGACAAATTCAAAAGAAACATACCGGTTAGTAAACACCAATAATAAACACTAAATTTATTAGTAATAAA